CTTCATTAGAGTCATGTTCATTTGTTTTGAAACTTTAGTTTAGTTTTCCGTGCCAATATTACGTTCAAATGTTTGCATTGTTAAAAATAACTAAAATAGATTTTCTCGAAAATGGCTCCAAATATTTCTTCAACTTTTGGTGGATAGTGCGAGATGTACTCTATGAAATTTACATAAACGCTAGATTGATCTATTCTTTTGTTTTGCCAAAACTTACAAAAGCTGTAATTGTTTGGCGCTAGCGTTTCACATCGTTAATATTTGCATTAGCGGCGATTGTTTATATGATTGCATTTACGAACATTCATGTGCCTTTAAATGATGCTGGCAACCAAAGTTTTCTTGAAAACTCGTATGTCTGTGAAAACGAGCTCAAATTTCGCATTTTCAGAAATGTGAAAAGAAACTTTTCTCAAAAAACGTCTCTAATTTATTTTTCAACATTCTACGAATAGTGTTATTGCACTGTTTATGATGACATAGAATTAATTTTTCCTGTATTCTTTTTTACAATCGTACAATTATACAAATGTGTGTTTGTTTTAATACTCTCACGCGGCTTATATCCACATTCCAGCAAATTCATTTAATACTATAGCTTTTTGTGAGTGAAAGTGCTTCAAATGACTTCAATGAAGTTGCCAAAACAAAAAATATTCCAGTGAAAAAGTTTAAAATTTCGCTTTAAACGTTTTTTCTTAAAAACTGTTCCAAATTTTTCAAAGAAAATTTTCCATATTTACGACGTGGGTTTACACTTTATTAATATTCTAGAAAATAACATTTTGAAATCTACTATTAGGGAAAGGGAAAACTGAAAAAAATTTCAAAAAGTTGTATTTAGGGCCGGCGATAATGCAGAGCAAGACCGTAAAGCTAGCCACAGCAGAGAAAATTAGAAAACTTTACTACGGACGGCCAGTATGTGTGACCATTCTGTAGACACCATTTGGATCAGAACGTCCCTCTGCTTGAACATTTTGCGTTTAAACTATTCCTCAAAAAACTATTTCAAAGTTTTCTCAAAATGCCTCAATTTTTTTGTTAAGAATAGACCAAATGCACTTTAAAGTTGGGTATAGGTCCGATTTTCACTGTTAAATCTGAATTTTCGAAAACTTCAAGATTTGAATTTTTTCAGCGCTTTTCCTACATCCTATAAAATTGAAAACTGAAAAAAAAAGAAAGTTGAAGATAGGTCCGATTTTCACTGTTAAATCTGAATTTTCGAAAACTTCAAAGATTTGAATTTTTCAGCGTCTTTCCTACATCTATAAAATTGAAAACTGAAAAAAAAAAGAAATTGAAGATATATATTTATCAAATTTGTTTTCCATAATTAGATCTTTCATTAATGTCATGTAGTAAATTCTTTTGAACATTTTAGTAGTTTTTGCGCAATATTGATTGAAAGATTAAAAAATATCAAAAACAATTTCTTAAACACGTCTGCAGTTTTATTTGTTTTAACTTTTTGTTCGGATAGTGCTGAATGCACTGTAATAGATGACAAAAACGCCATTTTGCTGTATTCATTTATTGTTGTTATTTTTTAAATTTCGCAAATGTATTTTTTTTAAACTGTTGTGCCGTTAATCTTACATTACCGGTGATTTGGACACATTATTACATTCATTAATGCATATGCTTTAAATGATGACTAATTTATCGAAAAGTTGAAAGTTGTTTATCAAAATAACTAAAAATTTCACACTAGTTGTTTTCAATCATGATAGAGTGAAACAAGTGCGCCGCCGCGAGATAGGATGGTTAGAAACAGATATTCTCCCGCATCGGCCTGAGGGCCAAAAGTAAGCATTTATCAACGCGCTCTAGCACCTAAACGGTACTTCAGAAAATTAAAGTTAAAATATGCATCTGTAGGAAATTTTATTGCCTTTAATTCCGTAAATAACAATTGCTTTGAAAAAACGCATAATTTTGAAGATATAAACAACAAATTAAAAAAGGGGAAATTTTAAGGGTTTTTGTTTGCAATTTTCTCTGTGAATCCGATCATTTTTGAAGTGGCAAACATCACATTCGAATTTAGCACCCTCAAAAACGTATAGAACCGTCGAGAAAAAAAAAATCCGGAACTTTTTCTTCGGCCAGATACTTTTTGACTGGAAGGGGACTTTAAAGGGGATCAAAAGCTGGATAGATCTTGGTACCCGTCAAGGGTGGGCTCTTAAAGCCTGTTTCATTGCTGAAGAAGGGCTGACACCTTTATTTGTGACTATTGTGCATGACTTCGGCCCTATTTTCTTCCTGTATAAACTAGAATGTTAATAAAAAACAAATTTACAAATTGACAACATGTTTATTTTTATGTTTCGTATTTGACATAGTTTACTTAATTTGATTATTGACTTTCTAACTGTTTTATAATAAATGTCTTCAATTCTGAATCATTTTAATGTAAGTACCCCATTTTAGGCAACAGGTTATCCAAAACGGGGACATTGCTCATCTTCACCAAAACGTACTTTTCTATCGAAGTCCATATTTTTGTAAACACAAAAACCATTACTTCTAACAGTCTAAGTTCTAATTAACATCGAAATGTTTTTCACAATGATTTTTTACAGATAATTTAGTTTGTTATAAGTTAAAATATGTTTTATCCCCATTTTGGACGACTTCTCCTATTTTGATTAAAAATGCATTGGATAGACTCAAGGATGAAGTAATCTTGTAGTGCGAAGAGTTGCCTTGTCATGGGACACGCGTAGCGAAGCATCACTGCGCAGAAGCGAACCGGTTCTACCTTCGATAAGGAAAAAGAATCTTATAGGCACTAAAAAAATATTACAATACCTACATTTTTGCTAGCGTGAAAGAGATTCACTTACACACAGAAAATATATATTTTCGCGTACACACAGACAATATAAAAACAATGAATTACACAGAATAACGCGCCTAATTTCAATTGCTGTTTCTTAAAGTTGAAGTAGGATCTACTTTCTTAACCTTAGTTTCTTTTTAGGAAGTTCGTTCTTTGCTTTTTTCTTCGCTCGCTTACTCAGTGGAGAGAAAATTATGTAATGGTGCGAGAAAAAACGGCAAATTTTGGCCAAAAACTCTTTATTATAGACCTCTGGTAACGAAAAACGTGGATAAATCTAATTGTCAAATTTATAAAAATTCCTCTAACACGTGGTGTAGCCAGAATCCATGTTTTGTAGGTCCTTCATATCGAAAAATCGAATGACAGCAAAACAACTGTTTGTCCATCCGTCTATGAACAACGCTAGCGGCTAAACCGTTTAGCCGAATTTTCTCCAAAATTGATATTTCTCGATCGATCTGGCTGATGCCGCATCCCTTTGAAATTTAAACCGATATTTTAATTTTGGGGGGTACTTTACATGAAGCCCTTGTGACATTTTCAAAATTTTCAAAAAATTGCTCCATCGTTTTTGTTTGGGACATTCTTTTTTAAAACGGCCAACAAAATATTGTAGGGTCGGAAGTCATGAAAATAATTATATTTTCGGATTCAGCATAATATAAAAAAATGGATTTTTAGAACTTTATTTTTTATCTACAAATAATTCAATTTTTTAACGATTTTAATAACTTTTCCGGTATTGTTCCATTAAAAAATTCCAAGCTAAGACTGTATACATAAAGTATCGTCTAATATTTTTAACACTATCTACTGATGTCAAGCAACAGAAAAATTGCACAACAAAAATTATTCAAGATTATAGATGGCATAAATAAGTAAAAGTGTTTAAAAATCAATGGATAAAGTACGTCATCGTCTTTTTTCAATTTTCAAAAACCAAACTACTCCTCGATATTTATACTTTAATAAGTTTCCAAAAGTTTCAAAAGTTAAAATTTTTCCGGCTTGTTCATACTGTTACAAAATTGATAATAGAGATTTTTCCTTCAAGTAAAATTCAGTTAGAAGCTGAATGTTCAAAAATGAGCAAATATTCGTAATGGACCTATCGTTTTTACAACGATTAATTTTATCAGATCTTTTCATCACAAACTTTGCAATAAAATTGCTCGTAGTTCTGAATCCTTTCAATAACCAAGGATGAAATTTTGTAGGCATAAAGTACAAGTTACTAAGAGTATTTTGGATTTTGAAAATCGAAAAAAGACATTTTCACAATCGAATTTATTTTTACAATCGATATTTTAAGGGGTTTACTCATTTATGCCCTCTTTAACCTTTAACAATTTTATTGTGCAATTTTTCTGTTGTTTGACATCAGTAGATAGCGTTAAAAAATAATAGACGAAACTTTATGTTTACGCTCTTAGCTTGGAATTTTTTAATGAATTTCAAAAAAATTATGAAAATTGTTAAAAAATTGAATTATTTTTAGACAATAAAGTTTCAAAAAAATCCCAACACCCCACAATCTCTTTCTTAGTTCTTATATCATGCTGAATCTGAAAATATAATTATTTTAATGATTTCCGACTTTTCGATATTTTGTTGGTCGTTTTGACAAAGAAATTCCCGATTAAATTTTGTTGTTGGATACTGTGAAGGATGTTTAAGAGAATGCTGCAAGTCTCATTTACGTTAAAAACTCTAATTTTTGAAAATTGCGAATATTCAAAATTTGTTCGGCGTCTTCCAACAATTATAATTATGAAGATAGAGAGATTTTTCCCTTAATGAAATGTGTTCCGTGAAGACAGATTTTGAAATAAGGTCGTTTCGAAAATTTGTGTACTTTTCGCATAATTTTGCGTTGAAGTACGGGCGAGAAAATACGGGCGAGAAAGTACGGGCGGTGGTAGGAAGAACAAAGCTTTGTATTTCCCTGTCTCTGCGAAATATGGTTCTCAGTGGACGAGCATCGTCCAATAGCAGCAGGAGTAGAGCGTCTTTTTCCACGTGCAAAAGGCTTGCTTCTCTGGACCTGCTCTGGCTGTCAGCCTGGCGGTGTGCGTGCGTGCGTGCGTGCCCGCCCGCTGTGTGCGGCTGTCAACCTTTGTGTGTACTTTTCTGAAACTCTGTAAAGGTATTTGTTTGTGATGTGACGCAATTCAATAGTACTTCGTGACTGTCAAACAATTCTCTTGAAAAGTACTTTGTTGTTTTTATCATGATCGATAAACATATTCTTTGCAGTCTATTACATGTCGTGCATTTAACGCGTTTGAAAACAAAGGCGCACGCTTTGGAACTCGATTGGCTTTCTTCTGGTCTTGCTGTTTCTTAGCGTTCACTTGTAATTTTAGATTAATGCATTTTTTATTATACATTTGTACCTTCGTATCATGCTGTGGAATTATTTTGATGGAATTTTGTTTTACATGTGAAATACCGTTAATTCTACTTCCTCTCCACTGTGTTTTTGTTATAGGCTTTGTGGCAATGCTGACAAAAACAGCCAGATAGTTACCTAGTTTTATAGATCTGCAACGTAAAAAAATATCCTTACTGTTAAGGTAACGTGTAATTGTTTTACTATTTTGCCCGCATACATCTGAGCGTTCGTGTTTAACTGAAATGTGTAAATGATGTGCAATCTTTGTTTAGCAGAAATAGGTTCGTTCAGGCCGTAATCACAATATTCAATTTTTTAAATTTGTGAAATGTACGTAGATATCATCTTAATACACGAAAAAATTAAAAATATGTTTCATTTTATTGTGGTATCATTCATGATTAATTTGTAGTATTGGTATTCCAATGTAACTAATTGTAAAATAATGTTAAACGAGTAGCAGTGTTTCAGAATAAATATTTGAGTTACTGTAGACCATAGCATTTCTCTTTAATATGTATATAAAGAATTCTTTTGTCTTGAATGGAGCTTTTGGAAAGTTCTTATTAGTGATTCAAAATGGTTTGCTGATCAGATAGGCCGAATAGTTTTCAAGATGTGAAGATTAAATGTTCTCCAAGGCCGAAAAAAAATTAAATGCAGTAAAATGTTTACCTTTGATACTTTGTTGTGGACGATACACCTTTGTTTTTGTTTTCACAGTATCTATAGTTAACTTGTCTCTAAAACATTCTTATGAAGAAATCATTAAACTCTATTTATCTACTCCCTGAGTATTAAAAGCTATTCAAATTTAAAACACAGATTCTTCTCATTAATGTGTACTGTGCAGGTGCTGCAATACCCATTGTGCTGTTTTTTTTTGTTACAAATATTCAAGTATTTTCTTAAATTATTGTAGTTGTTAAAAATCACAATAAAACATGTATTTTATGACAGTTCTGTGATTAACATGAAACAATAAATTCTTCTACTACAAGACCCTGGAACTCTTTGAAGGGAATCCAATATGAGATCTGAAAAGAAATTAGGATTAGGATGAACTTGAATAGAAAATAAATATTTGTAAAGAATTTTTTTTCTTCTAATTTTTCTGAAGTCAACTTATTATCATTATGAAAACATAATTTAAACAATGATTCAATGCATTCTTTAGAGTTATTAGCTTATTTTCACTAAGAGATAAATGTATGTAGCATTGAATTAGTTCAAACTAATGTAAAGAACATGGGAAACCATAGTTTGATGATTGATTTTTATACAACTAAAGTATTATTAATTTCTTTTTTTTCTTGGTGATTCAGAAGATGGCAAGTCCTAATGGAGAAAAGAAAGAATTATGTCCTGACGGCAGTTCTGAAAGGTATGTCATAGTAGTTGCAGGGAATTTGGTTACATGTATAAAGTGTATAGAATATTATTGATAATAAGAATTCCATGGAACAACCTTTGCAACAAGAGAGATTCATAATTTCTCCTAAAAATTACAAGTGCTTTATCTATCTGAATAATAAATCTTTTGTACAATAAGTCTGGTGTTTTAACCAGAGTTCTTTCCATGTGAGGGGAATGTGAGTGTAGGACAGTATGAAAGTTTGTTGTGACAGTACCATAGTTTATAAGGAAGGGTTGTCCTATCTTGTCAACCTTCAAAAACTGCGTTGCAACACTTTTATTTAACTTCGTTTTTAGCTTGGATCAAGGAGTATCAAATTCAAAAACTGCTGGAAGTGACCATAGCCTTTCTACGCTTTCAACACATGATGAATGTTTTCACTCGCAACAATTTTCACAGTTGAGCCTCAATAAAATGGAGAATTATTTTCTAAAGGGTCAATTAACAGATGTCACTTTAATAGCAGGTAAACAAAGTTAATTCAGTTATCTAATTAACTCAATACTGCTTTAAAATTTCTTCATTGTCTTGTGAAAAACATATTTATTTTAGGTTTCCAGACAAATTCCTGCTCATCGCGGTCTTGAGTGCTGGATTCTGGAAAATATTTTTGCAGCTATGTTTCACTAGCAATCTTCGGAGAAGACAACTCAAAGGTTGAAGTTGTATTACAAGATGTGGATGGTGATGCAATTATGGCTCTTGTTCAAATTAATTGTTATACTCTGGTGGTGAAATTGTATGCTGTTTTCAGGCTTGAGGTTTCTAGTGAAATTGGTATGCTGTTTTCAGGCTGAGGTTTTCCTTTGTAATCACCTAAAATCATATTATTTAACATATGAATGTAAATTATTTCTTTCTTTTTTTGAGATTCAGTTTTATTTATTATGAAGAACTTAGGTTTTTGACATTTCTTTTTTCTGATAAAATGAAATTTAATGATAAATAAAGACTATGTGAATTCCAGGCAGTGTTGAACTACAATGAAGACACGCGTGAAACATTACTTGCCACTGCATGTCTACTACAATTTAATGATGTAGGTAACAGCATGCTGCAGTTTTTTCTTTGAAAACAGCTCGCATCCTTCAATACTGCATTGGTATTAGGTTATTTGCTGATGCACCAGGGGTCAGAAATTACTTCAAGTTTCTCATAGAATATACAACTGTAAGAACATTGTCAATTAAATCATATATATGGAAAGTTGGCTTTTGTCAATTCATTTTTAACTTTTTATTTTTTAGGAACATTTCATGGAAAAGTTATTCGTAATCAAGAATTTCTTATGCTGTCCAGGCTGATGAAGTTGCGAAAGCTTCTTGCTTCTGATGATCTCAATGTGGCCTTGTGAAGAAATGAATATTTCATGTACGTACTATTGTATTAATACAAGCGTGTTTGAAAAGCCCACAATCATCAAATGTAAATATTATTTTCCTTGCAAAACAATCTCAACAATTTCAAATAATGTTGGCGCATGTAAATTTTTGGTTGAGCTGTTGTATTTTACTGGGAGGAGATAATTTTTTTCTTTCCACATGTGGTTTTCACTTTGTCTTGAAATTGTAAAAGGGAGTTTACTATTGTGTATGAATAGTTATGTAATAGCTGAAAAAGAATCGTCAGGATTTTGCTGCAAAATTATGTGTTTTTTGGGCCCTGAATACAGTAAAAGAGTTTGTTTTAGTACTGAAAAAGCTTGATCAGCATTTGTAATCCTTTTTTTAATTGCTGCACAGTTCTATAATGTTTTGTGGATATGCAGCCAGACTAAAATGGATCTATTAGGGATATCCCAACTTTAAACCGGTTTCTGGATGGAATGTGAATATTTAAAAGAAATAATGAAATATCAACTGTCCATGACCATTAATAAAAGACTTTTTAAATGCCCATTTGTAATATTTTCCTAAAATAATATTTACCTTCAGTGTCACATGTTTTTATTCCAACAGGCTTTCCATGTCCTGGTATATTGATCTCCCACCGTGAAAAAAGGGACATCAGCCGTCTTTTGGCACTAGTCAAGTTTTGCATCTTCTCCTCTCCTTCTGGTTAGTTCATATATAGTATAATTATGGCAACAAGTATTTATTATCTTAATAACATAAACAATTGAATACTTATATACTCTATAATCAACTTTGAACAGATGTTTTATTTATAGCTTTATAGTCTGGTGTGATACAATTTCCATATTAATATAAGCTTTTAATTGTTAATTTAGATGAGATATATTATTCTTCAATGTGCCAACAGCTTATTGTATTTTGTCAAACAATTAGCTTTAAACTTTGCTTAATGCAACAAATATTCAGCGAAATCCATTAAACTTTTCCCTGATACCATTTGTCTATTGTTTTAGGTGCACACATTTATTAATTATTGTTGTTGTTATTATATTAAATAATAAATAATTTGCCTTTTATTAGGTTTTATTTCAGATCATATAGAAACATATCCATTGTTCCGAGAGAACGTTTATGTCAAGAATTATCATTGGAAGCCCTTAAGTACAGATTTACTACTGAACGTCGCCAAATGCTTCAGTCTCCCACGGACACGTCCTCGAAAGTCCCACTGTTGTTGCATGTATTTGTGGTGGGAATGGGATGCAAGAAGAGTCTTGATTAAATTGCCTAAACAATTTCTCTTTTCGGATTTTAGATTGATTGATTCTACTACTTGGTAAAAGTTTTATTTTAACTTATTATTTTGTCTAGCTATCTTAATTTAGGTGTGGAACCTGGGTTTTTTAAAAGTTTGTTACATGTGCATTAATTGCAATGTTTGATATGTTTGAAAGGATTAATAGATTCTGGAGCTAAGAAAACTGCAGCAATGGTTTAAACTGGCACAACTGCGTATTTACTACTTCGAATATTCTACTCTATACAAGACCACAATCATTTTTAAAACTAATTTCTATTCGTTGAAATAAAATTGTAAATGTTTATTTGGACTGGAAAATGTCTTATGAGAATGTTAAAGAAAACTTATTGACTGAGCAATGCACTATTTTCTTGTTCCTTAAAATGATCATAATTATGGTGTCATTACCCCTCTCTTCATCTTCTCTTTGTATCATTTTCTCTTTTCATTTTGGGTCTTCCACCTCACACTGTGACGTACTCTGATCTTTTAGGCCCTCTGAATGTTTTTGAGACTTACTTGTGTTTTAGTCTTCATCTTGTGCCATCTAAGAACATTCCTCTGTTGTTCCAATTTTCCTCTTCTCCCACTCCTTGTTTGGGACCTCTGATTCTTTAGCAGAATATACTTGAAAACCATATTAAGTTAGTGTTACAATGAATTGTGCAAAACTGGTCCAAATTAGAAAGCCTAAGCAAAGATTTTATTTTTTCTTTCCCATCCTTTTGATGGTTGATATGTAGATTGCAAGTACTATCAATGTAGATTTTTTTATTTCCATCTCTTCATTGCAGATTCCACTTGCTGGGAGACAACCAAGAGTCCCACATGGGCTTTGGCGATCGCAATTGGCCTCTCATGTGTAACAAATCTTAGGGAAATGATTTTTTATTTGTTTTTCACGGGTTGCGGGTTCACGTTGACACAATTTCATTCATTTAAGATTCCTCCTCTTTACTTGCCCATTTTCAAAAGATTGCTCCAAATCGCCTCAGCATTTGCAGTGTAAGCTTGAAGAATAAGTACACTGCCATTATAGAGTACATAATACATTATGTACAGGTTGTGAATTATTTATTGCTTAAAGCTTTATGTTTTTGTCAATGTACAAGTTTTGTTTACAAATGGAAAGGCAATATTAAAGCATCAGTTTGAAAACCATAATGCTCTCCAATTAGCTGATATTAAGATGACCTATTAATTTATTTGATATACTTCGGAAAAATCTCATATTATATTTCGGCAAAATATGCTTCTTTAATTGCAATTAATAAATGAGCCTTGACTGGAGGGGAAATGTCTAATACAATTACAAAGAGGATTTATTTTGAAATTTTATTCGTGAAAAAATATGAAAAATATTAAACCAACATTAAACCTTATTACCTCCAGTGTGTATTCGAAAATTGAAATTCGTTCTAACTTAACAAAAAGTACTATTATATAGATGTAACAAATATTTTTCAACAAAAAAATTGTGGGTGATGTTTAAAGATCAATTATCTGAATTGCACCAAATATTCAGAAGAAACACCCTGTTTTTCTACTTTCTTTCAACAAGTTCTTTATTCGACTGGAATTTCATATCTTAATATTTTAAGAATATTTGTGAATTTGCGTTTTGATCTGGAATTAAATGGTGAATGTGTTTAAATGAATTTTTGATACTGTCAGTTGGGCGAATTGTCCAGGGAAATGCTAGGGATCATCTCACCCTCCTACCTCCAATTGTTTAATGTCCCTCTGAAAGCAATTCATATAAGACAAAGTATTAATTTGTTTTTGTCCTTGAAGTGAACCAATTATACCATATTAAGTTGCCTCACTGTTTATAATGTTGTTTCATTGAAATATCAAACCAAGGAATTGGGAACTTGAAAACATTCTGAATGAGATTTATAGGCTTATTCACAGTCTGTTGTGTGCAGGTCAGACTGTCTTCATTTTCACCTGGATTTCTGTTACTTGTTGTTGTACTATAATATAATATATTTTGTATTGTTGCCAATATTGTTGTTATACTTTATGGGACACTTGAATTTATTCCTTCCTGGAGATTTTAGTTTCTTTCTAAATAAAATAGCACCAATTCACCCCTTGATGATACTTGTCCAATTGGTTTTGCTTCAATGAAATAATCATGAAAAAAATGGGTTGTAAGCATTAGACTATTTATCTCTTTTTTACGGATTCTATACTTCTATGTACCTCTTCTTTAAATATTTCAAAGAAGCTGAATTAAAATTTCAATTCCATGCTGGGTTTTTGCAGGCGCTACAAGCATTGAAAAATATGATCTTCGCACTAATTCTTGGAGTAATGTGGCAAATATGAGTGCTCGGCGCCTACAGTTTGGTGTGGCTGTTATGGATGAGAAGCTATATGTTGTTGGAGGAAGAGATGGATTGAAAACACTGAATACAGTTGAATGTTACGATTTAAAAGCAAGAACCTGGAGCAATTTACATCCAATGTCCACTCATCGACATGGTCTGGGTGCGTAATTTTTGTTTTCTTCTTGTAATTGTTATCTTACAAATTTTATTGCAAAATTAGATATTAAACCCTGCTCAGTTGTACTTACAGTGGTATCAAACCATTGGGTGAGTAGAATTTCTAACACCTAAAAATTTATTTAATTATTTATATTCTAATAACATATTTAAATTAATACTAATATTAACCCTTTTAATGTATTCTCTAAATTCATAATCTGGTGAACAATCATACATTTTGCATTAAGGTGATTCATTTTAGATTGTCAATTCCAGACAACAAAAATTAAAGATGCTGTAATATGCCAGTAATGACTATCTATAAATATTTACACCTACCTGAACTTTTTTCTATAAATATTTACGAAATTGATTATCCCTGATCTGCATAGATTTACTTTATGATGAAATATTTATTAGGTTGATTTGATTACCATTTTGTTTGTGGGTATCGACATAAAACATGCTAAATCTTACCTTGCTGTATACGGACATCCTGTCTGTACAGACCCGTGATTTCTGGAAGTTCTGTTAATTAAGTAATTTTTTTAATTGATGGCAACCGAGTACAAATTATCAGCTTAGTTCCAAGAAAATAAATAAAACATTTATTTAACAACTTAACAGTGTTAATTGAGCTCAGCTTATTGATCTTTCTATTTTTCTTTTATAGAAGAATTATCCTTCCTGTACTGGTCAAAGTAAAGGTCGTGGCTTACTTATATCTTCGTTCGCATTGAAGACTTCTCGGTTGAATTCCGGTTGAAATGTCCACCACGTCCTCTTTTTTGATTTCACCTCATTGATGTGAATTCTATTGCCCTGCCTACTGTAATATTTCATAATGTCAAATTATAATAAAAATGTCACCTGTGATTCTGTTAGTTCATTCCCAGTTCACTGAATAATTATTCTAATTAATTATGCATCCGTGAAAATTCCTTATGTTATACCATGCGAGGGTAGCTATTCATGACTTCTAATGTTCAAAAAGAATTGTTTACTGTAAGAGACATCTACGATTCTTCCCTATTCTAATTTCGTTCCTAAATATAAATACAAGTAATAGTTAAATTACTTTTAACATTCTTTAAGTTCCTTCTATTAGGACTCTGAAAAATATTGAATACAATTACATACTACCACACTCCCTTCCTACATTCATCGCTTTGTCTGAAATATTAATATATTCCCAATAGTATGCATCGCATCTAAAGGTAGTCACAACATACCAAGCTAACGGGTTTCAGTCTTTTACCTGATTACAGTTCCCCCAAATATATGGTTTTTGCCATGTCACCATGTTTGTTCGTCCACTCGAGGCTTGTTTATTTACTGGTTGCTCTGGCAACCTGTATTCCTTGACTTATCCTCATTCTGTAAGTGTAAATTACAAGTTTTGACATAATATTTATTGTAATATCTTGAAACCATTCATGTTAATAAAAATGGGGTCTTTCTGGTTTATCACAATACCAACTTAAACTATTATAAAATTGTAGGATGTTAATTAATAGTCTTATCACATTTGAGCCTAAAGGTGTGAAAGTCACATCAACTTTATTCTCAAATTTATATCCTTCTGATGTACTCTCACATTCAGCTTGCTTGAGGGCATTTAAAAATATCTGTACTGATAATAGGTCAGTAATGCTTCTGTAATTGTTACTTCAGTTGGATTGTTCTGTTTGATGGAGCTGCGCTACAACAAAAAATTGTTAATTTTAGGAAGCAAGTGTTTTGTGGAATAAAAGTAAGTTAAGGTAACCTAAAACAACCTTCATTCTGGTAGCTATAAAAGTCCATGCATATTTATGACAAAATACTTTTGCAGCTTTGTAGACTAACTTAACTCATTCTGCTCCACATTGGCTGCCATGCTTTGACTTTTGACCTCTATGATAATATGAAATGACCTGAATCAAAGCAATCCATTTGTGTGGCAAAATATTCATGTAGATTTGACCCCTTCTTTTACCCCTTCCACTGAGGCATTGAACAGTGGTCAAGTTGAAGTTTGGCCCTAGTAAAACAAAGGTTAACATATTGTTCTTTGTAAATTATCTCGCTAATGTTATACAGATTTGTGAATTGTTGAAAAGTTTCTTTTACAAAATTCCGTTTAAAGTAAAATTTGCTTCAAATGACTTCAAAGTTGACTTTAAACAAACTATGAACAAGTTACAAATCTAGTGTATATTCTGGTGGGGAGAATTTCCCTTTGTTTTCTTCATTGTTTTCTTCCACAATCAGTGAAAAACAGAAAACCTATTTCCAGCATTTGATTTACATCACCACTGTATCATCAAATTGTAATAATTTATATTATACTTAAAGGGAAAGGATGATTGGTAATTGCTAAAATATTTGTACCATTTAGCTCAAATAGCACGGTTAAATATGTTAAAGAGGGATTTGTCATGAAATTGGATACTTCAATGGGAAATATCCGGAGGGGGCCAAAGAAAAGATGGACAGAAGAGGGATCCTAATAAGCTAAATGATAGCCCAAAACAACATGGTGGTAATAAATAGAGGAGTTACACCAACGTTCAATTGAAGAGACATGCAAGTCAATAATTGACCTGTCTATCGCCAACCAGCTGTTAACAGGTCACATTGAAGAATGGGAAGTCTTAGAGAAAGAGTCACTAAGTGACCATATCTAGATATACTTTAGG